TTGTAGCGATACGGCTGTGCGCGTGCGTGCGCACGTGCGTGTGTGTGCGTGAGGAAAAAGGGTGGGGGGAGAATTCCCCTTACATTATTCTATCGGCGCGATGACGCTAGAGTCGCAAACATCCTCGCCCGGACGTTAGTGAGGCTGGGCGGCGTGCTCGGCGTGCTCGGCGTGCTCCGCTTAGCCGAGTCCGGAGTCTGGCACGGCGCCAGCCCGCGCCAGCAGCACCGAGAAATGGAGAAAACAGCTCTAAAATATAGCCCCGGTGTACTTTGTTAGGGGGGGGAGGGTACAAGCAGGGCATTGACTTTGCAAATCTCACGAAAACCGGTTCGCCGTTCCTTCCCCCAGCGTTCGGACTGTGCCCCTCGGCGCCCCACCCCCCGGGGGCAGGCGGCTGGCTGGCGGGCTGACCCGGTGGCGAGGGCGCGGCCCTGCCGGCCCTGCCGGCCCTAGGCTCGGCGGCTTGTTGGCTAGTTCTACGCTGGGCGTGGCGGCACGGCGGCAAGGCGTTGTACTGCGGCGTGCAGATGGTGCTTTGATGCGCCGCGCCGCGTCCCTGCAGTGCAGGATACTGGTCGCCGCCGAGCAAACTGGCCGGACCTCTTCATTACGGCGGCCGCGCCACAATGCCGCCGGCACGCCGAGTAACGGGAGGCCTGGGTTCGACTCCCGGCGCCGGCAAGGACGGCCCTTTTTTTTCTCGTCTTTTTCTTTCCGATGGCGTCCCCGCGTGCCAACGGGCAGAGGGCCGGCCGAGGTCGGCGAAAGGCGAAAGGTGGGCGGGCCGTGCCGTCCGAGACGTGTCGTCCGCGACGCGACGCTCCAGCGGTCCAGCGGCCACTCCAGCCCGCCCCTCCCAGCCCTGCCGCCCCCGTGGACGTGACGCGACGTCTCCATTAGGCGAGTCGCTTTTTGCGGTGGAGTGGCGCGCTAATCGCCTGGGAGGCACTGCGAGGCTGGCGGCGAAAACGGCCGGAAAAAAGGCGTGAAGGGCTGCGGCGCTCCGCCGTGCCGGCCGTGCCTCCTGTGTGGTCCCGCGCCGCCAGGCGGAGTCCCGACACATTAGACGGCCGCGCTGGCCGTGATCGGTGTCGCGGCAAAATGAAAATGACGACGGCGGCGACGACGCGACGCGGCCAGGTCGACGTCCTGGCGGCGATGAGCCTGCCGCCAACACCGCACCGACGGCACCGCGCCGACGGCCTCCCCGCGCACGCCAAGGACACGTCGCGGAGCCCCCCGGCGGAAAGGACGCAGCGCGCAGGGCCCGGCGCCGCGGATACGGCGGTCTTCCCCGCCGGGTCCCCGCCGGGTCCGCGCCAGCATCGGCGTCGTGATGTGATTGCTCGCAGGGGCACCAACTTGTCTGTGCGAATCTCGGCGCATTACTGCCAACTGCCGCGCGCCGCAGCCTTAAGACCTTAAGGGCGCCATAAAGCGCGCATTCCTCTTCCGAGAAGGAGGTGTGTGTGTGTGTGTGTGTGTGTGTGTGTGTGTGTGTGTGTGTGTGTGTGTGTGTGTGTGTGTGTGTGTGTGGGAATGTAAGTATGAGTTTGCTCGTGTGTGTGTAGGTGTTTTCGGCTGAACTCTCCCAGATAAGACGTGGACAGTTTACGCGCGCCCGGCGGTGGCTTTATCAGGCAACGGGTAAAAAATGCGAGACGTGATGTGCCCGTCTGCCAGGCCCGCCTGCCCCGTCGGCCCGCCGCCGCGAATGATACTCCAGCCGTGTCTCCAGCCACTGACCCGGCCACTCCAGAGTGCTGGAAACGGACTGGCGAGGCGACTCCCTGATCATTGCCACCCCGAGGGGACCCTCTCTCTCGCGCCCCAGTGGGGCGGGCCGTGCGTGCGAGAGAGACAGAGCGACTGGCCGAGCCACGCCCCCGTCGGCCGGGGGGAGAGGCGCCGCTCTGCCGTTGACCCCGTCCAGTCCAAATTACAGTGGAGTAACAGCAGGATAGTCTGTCAGTCCGTTTGGCGCTGAGTGGTGCTATTTCGGCCGCTTTGACAAGGCGCCACACTGCCAATGAGTGGGCAGCGGGCACCACCACGACGACGGCGGGGACCGCGAGGAGGAAGGTCCTTGGGCGCCAGGCGCTCCGGGCCGTGACCCTCGGCCCCAGTTCACACGGCGACGCAGGCGGTGACGCGCTGTCTATCAGTCACCGCCGTGCCGCGCCGTGCCGCGCCGTGCCGCCAGCCCGCGACCTCTGCGTCTCCATTACCACCATTTACGCCAAGGCGAAATCCTTTGCCTCCGGCTCCGGCCTCTGCTCATTTTTGTTGCCGCCTTCCTCTGCAGACTGATTCCGAGAGTCGTTTTCATCGCTCCGTCTCTCCCGCACTCATGGGGCGTCCCGCATGGGTGCGAGAGAGACAGAGGCGCCGGGGGGCACAGGGCTCCGCTTCCGGTGCTTCCGGTGCGTCGGGTCGCGTTGGCCCTCCAGTGTCGCGACACAGGCCGCCAGGCCGCCAGCGCACTGGAAGCGACCGCCAAGGCCGCGACGCGCCAGGCACCGCCACGAAGGACCCGGACGACGACCGCCGCGGGCTTGGCCGCAGGTGCAACAGCGAAAGTGACGATGAATCTGTCTGCCTGTCCGTCTGCTTGCGGTGGCGGCGTCAAGTTGAGGCCGCGCCCTTTCGTCCGCGATGGCGCTGTTTGCGGAGCAATCCCGGCATCGAGGTGCGAATGCTGCTTCACTTTGCGCGCCGCGCCGCGCCACGCCGCGCCACGCCGTCATGTCGGGTTCGTCGACCGATAAACCGGCCCGCTGCACATCGATTACACTTCCCTGCCAGCCTGCCTGCGTCTCGGCCTGCGTGCCGCGCGGCGTGTCGTCATCGCCGTCGTGTCGCGGGCCTCCAGAGCCTTGCCGCCGAGCGCGCCGCCGAGGCCTCGCGTGTCGCGGTGCGCGGGGCCGGAGTCATATCCAGTCGATATCTCGATCTCGGTGCCGATCCCCGGCCGATGGTCGCTCGCGGCTCGCAGGGACGCGACTCTGTCGCCTCCACCGCAAAAAGACGAGCGTCACCTTTAGTCATTCGCCGGCCGTTCCCTCCCTGGTCCGGCAGGCCGAGCGGCAGGCCAGCCAGGCCGTCCAGGCGGCGCCTCGCCTTCTTGGAAGCGGAAGGGCGCAGGGTTCCCGAGGGACTCGCGTGGGACTCGGACGGCGGCGTCGCCGAGTCGCCGCAGGACGGCCAGGACGGCCAGGACGGCCAGGACGGCCTCTGGGCGCGCGGACTGCCTCCACGTCGGCGACTTTGGTGACCACCTGGAGGACGACGACGTGGGGATGGCCCATCAGGATCATGCCGTTTGTCGGTTGCGTGCAGAGTAACACGAAAATCGTGGCGGACCTCCTTCCCTCTTTCTCTCTCACGCTGCCGCGGCGCGGTGGCCAGGCTAGCCCACCGCGCTGTGGTGGGAGGGCAGCACCGTCTTGACCATAACCTTCCCCAACGCCGCGCTGCCGGGCGCAGCGCACGGCCAGTCCCACGGGACGGGGCGTGGCGGGGCGGGGCGGGGCGGTCGATCGCTCCTTGATGAGCCCGGCTCGCTAGCTAGTCCACGCTTGGCGTCACTTAGGCCCCTAATGCCATTACATCCCCGGCCAATCCGATTACTTCAATTACCTCAGCACTGCGTCGCCCTCCCCTCCCCTCCCCTCCCCCGGCTGCGCTGGCTGCGCTCAGCCCGAGCCAAGTGCCTCTGCTTGCCTTGCACGTTTTATTTTCTCCCCGCGTTTAGCGCGTTTCCCCTCTTTTACGATGCCCTTCCTCCTCCGGCATCGCCGCGCCGCACCGCGCTGGCCGAGCTGATGAACAGCGCGAGGAGAGACGCTCCGCGCAGCTCAAGTGCTTGGGGTTCAAAACAACGTCGGGTTGAAAAATAAAACTGATATCGTCGCCGGGTGACGTCGGTGACGTCACCTGCGCCGTTGCCGTTCCTTCCGGATGTCCATCTGGACTGTGACGCGGCGACGCGGCGCACCCCCCGCGACGCGCGCCTCGCCGCTCGACACTGCTTTCGTCGCGCTGTCTCTCTCGCACTCGCGGGGCGTCTCCCAGCGGTGCGAGAGAGACAGGCGGTGACGCGACGCGCGTGTATTGGCGTGTTATCACGCGTCGTTAGCGCCTCGCACCGCCTTATCGCGCATCGCATCGCCGGGCTGCCTGCCAAGGAGCAGTGCCGACACTGTCGCGGCACTGCCACGCCACTGCCACCGGCACTGCCGCCGCGACAGGTCACTATTTTACCCCGCGATACTCACCGACCACCGCACAGAGGGCCAGAAGACCGGTGGACGCGGCCAAAATTCTAGGCGCGTTTCGAGCTCCAGAGTCGCTGAACAGGACTCACAACAAGCACGTGACCCCACCAATGGATTCCTTGTTCTAAGTGCAATCCATAGGTGGGGTCACACGTTCGGTTCTAGTTCCATTTAGCGACTCTGGAGCCCAAAAGGCGCCAGATATTTTGGCCACCTCTACCGGTCTTCTAATCCACAGTGCACCGACCCAACCACTGGTACCTGGTTCAATGGCTCCATGTGACCAGCCTCCGCAGGCCAGACGGCTATCCAATGCACATCCCGCCAAATTGTTACCTTGCCTCTTGTTGGGCGTACGCTGGCCCGTTGGCATCGGAAGAGTTTCTTTTGGCAGCGGGCCGTGCCTCCGATGGCCCGGCTGTCTTTGTCTGTGGCCCCGGTTGCGGACGGGGTCAGCAACCCAGCCGCGGTACGGCACGGCTGCCAATCAGGACCAATCACCACCGCCACTCATACCCGTAACGGAAACGGAAAAAACGCGCCGCTGCGCCGAGTTCAAGGTCGCCGTCGAGGAGGCGGCAGCAGGCGGCAGCAGGCGGCAGCAGCGGTTCCATGAATTAGGACTCCTTGACGGCGCCGCCGTGGAGCGGGGGTGGGGACGTCTTGAAACCTACGGCGGAAAGAAGGACTGCACTAATGTTGTTGTTTTTGCTGTTGCAGGGGCTGATCAGGGGCCATGGGGGGCTCCACGAGGGGCTCCATGGGGGGCTGGTGCCTGGTCGTCGCGGTGCTCGCCGCGCAGGCCTGGCAGGCGGCCGCCCACTGTAAGTACCCGGCCTCATCGCCATGCGTCTTTGAGGCCCTTGGCGCTGCCGAGCGATTCAAAAGAGTCGTTTCGTCGTTCTGTCTCTGTCGCACTCGTGGGGCTCTCCGCACGGGTGCGGGAGAGACGGAGCGACTCACCGCCCTTCTGTCCGTCCGCGGCGGCGCGTTTCCAATGATAATCCACCGCGTTATTGTTCCGATCATTATTGCAAGGAATAGGAAAGCGAGTGGGCGCCGCCTCGCTTCCCCAGCGATTCTGAAGAGTCGTCTCGTCGCTCTGTCTCTGCCGCACTCACGGGGCCCTCCGTGAGGGTGCGAGAGAGACAGAGCGGACGGCCCTTCTCTGCATTACATTTCATTATTTCATTCGGCCGCATGCGAGCCATATTCAATCGGGACAAAAGAATAGCAAGTGGATCGGCCGGTGAGGTAGGCAGCCGGAAACGCTTCCGCTGCGCGCGGCCGAACCGCGGAGGGAGAGAGACAGAAGCCCCTTTGATTCATCGCCCATAAAGCACTGCGGAAGTCGGCGGAAACACTAACGGCGCCACGGTGCGGTGGAGCACGCAGTGCCTCGCAGTGTAGGCAGCCCTGTCATTTGCATCTCGGACCGAGCGGCTCTTGATGCTTGCCTTTCCGCAGACGACAGCAGCGACTACGAGGACTACCAGGACGGCAGCTACCTGGCGCGGCCGCGGCGCCGGGCCTTCCAGTGCCAGGCCGAGGGATACTTCCCCGACCCCAGCGACTGCCGGACGTTCTACCGCTGCGTGGACTTCGGCTCCAGCTCGGGGCTGACGGCCTTCCCCTTCGAGTGCGGCCCCGGCACCGTGTTCGACACCGCCAACAACGTGTGCAACCACCCGTCGGCCAGCGGCCGGCCCGAGTGCGGCGGCACCGAGTCCGAGACCAACAACGAGGTGCCGTCGGGGTCCTACGAGCCGCAGCAGCCGCAGCAGCCGCAGCAGCCGCAGCAGCCGCAGCAGCCCACCCCCAGCGAGATCGGCGACGGCAAGTGCGACGGAGACGGCTTCTTCGGCGTGCAGGGCGACTGCAGCAAGTTCTACCGGTGCGCGGGCGGCATCAAGTACGACTTCTCCTGCGGGGAGGGCACCGTCTGGGACCCCGAGATCACGGCCTGCAACCACCCCTGGGCCGTCAAGCGCGGCGACTGCGCGGCCGGAGGACAACCCGGTGGACAGCCCGGCGGACAACCCGGTGGACAGCCCAGCGGCCCTGACGCCGGGTACAATCCACCCTCAGGACGACCCCCACGACCCACCGGCCCCATCTACGGCGGACAGGGCCCCACGGGACCCATTGACAACTCGCAAGGACCAACCGGACCCATTTACGGTAAGTTGCATGCATTGATTCATCGAAATGGTCTCCAGAACAAGTACCTGAAAAAAATACTGTTTATTTTTCAGGAGGCCAAGGGCCAACAGGACCTATCTATGGCGGCCAAGGCCCCACAGGGCCTATTTATGGTGGGCAGGGCCCTACTGGCCCCATCTACGGAGGACAGGGACCGACTGGGCCGATTGGAGGTAAGCTGGGTGAACAGTGGTGGGAGAGCGTTGAGCATGCCGACAAAGAGTAGTTTGTTACCGCACCATTTGTACAATACACCTTGCACTTTACTGCATGTAGCACAATTTATGAGTTAGTATTTCAGGATATTAATGATTACTGTTTTGTCCAGGCGGTCAAGGACCAAACGGACCTAACGGACCTAACGGACCTAACGGACCTAATGGACCCAACGGACCAAACGGGCCAAACGGGCCAAACGGACCAAACGGACCAAACGGACCTAATGGGCCAACCGGACCCATTTCTGGGGGACAGGGACCTACTGGACCAGTCTCGGGTGGGCAGGGGCCAACTGGTCCAGTCTCGGGAGGACAAGGTCCGATTGGACCAGTTGATAACTCGCAAGGTCCTACTGGGCCGATTGACAACTCACAGGGACCCACGGGACCCATTGACAACTCGCAGGGACCCACAGGACCGATTGACAACTCGCAAGGACCCACAGGGCCGATTGCAGGAGGGCAAGGACCGAATGGACCCAACGGTCCGAATGGACCTAACGGGCCAAACGGACCTAACGGACCGAATGGCCCTAACGGGCCAAACGGACCTAACGGACCGAATGGCCCTAACGGGCCAAACGGACCTAACGGACCAAACGGACCTAACGCACCGAATGGGTCAAACGGACCTAACGGGCCAACATCTGGTGGTCAAGGGCCGACGGGACCAATTTCAGGAGGGCAAGGACCAACAGGGCCAATTTCTGGAGGGCAAGGACCAACAGGCCCTATCTCTGGCGGACAGGGACCAACTGGTCCAATTTCTGGTGGGCAAGGGCCGACCGGGCCAATCTCTGGGGGACAGGGACCGACAGGCCCCATTTCTGGTGGGCAAGGACCGACAGGGCCAATTTCTGGAGGACAGGGACCTACAGGTCCAATTTCTGGTGGGCAGGGACCAACTGGGCCAATTTCTGGAGGACAGGGACCGACAGGGCCAATTTCTGGGGGACAGGGGCCTAACGGACCAAACGGCCCTAACGGACCAAACGGACCTAACGGACCAAATGGACCTAACGGACCAAACGGACCCAACGGGCCTAACGGGCCTAACGGACCAACCAGCCCCGGCGGAAGCGGTAGCCCAAGTGAACCTGGTGCTTCCCCGGGCAGCCAGCCCGGAGGCCCCGGCTCTAACCCCGGCGGCAACGGCGGCAACGGTACGGTACCGCATGATGACGTGTGCGCTTGCCTAGGTAAAGCTTGCTCACTCGCACCCTCGTAACGCTTTGCTTTGCTCGTGCTTAATAATGCTGCGTATCCCCTCCAGAATTTGGTGGGAGTTCCAATACACAAAGTAGTTCTGAAGCTGCTGCTTCCATTGACGCACCGGCAGAGTCCTCCGGTGGTGAGTAGCGCGCAAAGGTAACCACTCGCTCTGCCTTTTGCTTGGCTGCCGCAACTAACGCTTTCGTAGTGTTCTAAAGGGTAGGAATATTCCCGGGAATTTAGGGAATTCCCGGGAACGTTCCCGGGCACAATCAGACCCAAAAAATGGGAAATTCCCGGGAATTTTGAAAAAATGGCTAAAAACAGCTAGTTTTTGCGCGAAAAATGTAGAAAGTGCAAGGTACCAAGAAATAAATATGAATCACTTGAGTGTATTTCCATTTTTTTCAGAAGAGAACAAAACAAAACGTTTCGTATTAAAACATTCGTGTTTTATAAAAAAAAATCATATCAAAAAGTATAACTTTTATCAAATGTGATGGGTTTCATATGAAGCAATGTTCCCGGTCAAGTGGGAATATTCCCGGGAATTCCCGGGAAGTCTCGGGAACATTCCCCTGAATGATTGTTCCCGGGAATTTTCGAACACTACTTTCGTGTCACCAGGAGCAGCCTCGTCTGGCAACGGGTCCGCAGGGACTGAAGGCTTGAGCAGTGGCAACACGGCCAGTGATAACGCGTCGCACATTGCCTCGTCTAGCAGCTCAGCTTCCTCCAGTAGCTCTGCCTCTTCCAGTAGCTCAGCTGCTTCCAGCTCTAGCTCGGCCTCCTCCTGGTCTAGCAGCTCGTCCAGCAGCGAAGCAAACAGCGGAGCTAGCAGTGGAGCTAGCAATGGAGCTAGCAATGGAGCTAGCAATGGAGCTAGCAATGGAGCTAGCAATGGAGCTAGCAATGGAGCTAGCAATGGAGCTAGCAATGGAGCTAGCAATGGAGCTAGCAATGGAGCTAGCAATGGAGCTAGCAATGGAGCTAGCAGCGGCGCTAGCAGCGGAGCTAGTAGTTCGTCCCATGCGACAGCAGGGAGCTTAACTAACCCCTCCTCCGCTTGGCAAGGTGGCTTCTTTGCTTCGCAAGACGCTTCGGGAAATTACGGGTGGATCCCTGTGAACCCGTTCCGCCCGACCGGCTCAAACTTTTCGTTCTTCACGGGCAGCACTCTGAGTTCAGGCGGGACCGGAGCAATCTCTGTGAACTCCGGGACCTCCGGGTCGAACGGAGTCAATTCGGCGTTTGTAATCCCCAGCAGTAGCTCTGGAGCCACGAACGGTGCCGGTATATAAAACCTTACTTGTCTTGCTGTTTGAAGCCCCAAGAGTAGATGTTTTGACAGTATTTGGTTTTAGTTATGACACATATTAAGGCTGATTTCAATTGCAGGTGGACAACCAGGGCAGGGTGGTCAGGGAGGTTATCCTGGTGGTCAACCCGGACAGGGAGGACAGCCTGGAGGCCAGCCCGGACAAGGAGGACAACCAGGACAAGGTTATCCAGGTGGACTGCCTGGACAGGGTGGTCAACCCGGACAAGGAGGACAGCCTGGACAGGGTGGACAACCCGGACAAGGAGGACAGCCCGGACAAGGAGGGTACCCCGGTGGTCAGCCAGGTCAGGGAGGTCAGCCCGGACAAGGAGGACAGCCTGGTGGACAGCCCGGACAAGGAGGACAACCTGGTGGACAGCCCGGACAAGGCGGACAGCCAGGACAGGGAGGGTACCCTGGTGGACAGCCAGGTCAGGGAGGTCAGCCCGGACAAGGAGGACAGCCTGGTGGACAGCCCGGACAAGGAGGACAACCTGGTGGACAGCCCGGACAAGGTGGACAGCCAGGACAGGGAGGGTACCCTGGTGGACAGCCAGGTCAGGGAGGTCAGCCCGGCCAAGGAGGACAGCCTGGTGGCCAACCCGGACAAGGCGGTCAGCCGGGACAAGGTGGATCTGGAAATCAGCCCGGACAAGGTAAATGGCGGACCGCATTCCCGCTTAGCTTCGCACAATTTTAGAATTTCACTTGTTAACCTGCAACTGAATTTCTCCCAGGTGGACAGGATGGCTGCAGTGGTGAGGGCTTCCAGCCCGCCCCCGGTGACTGCACCAAGTTCCTGCGGTGCGTGGACAACGGCCAGGGCGGCCTCACCAAGTACGAGTTCTCGTGCGGGCCCGGCACAGTGTGGGACCAGGCGCTGCTCACGTGCAACTACCCGTCCGCCGTGCAGGGCGAGTGCCACAACGCGCAGCCCGCGCAGGGCGGCGACGACGGCGACGACGGATCGTACAAGCCGGACGGCGACGACGGCTCCTACAAGCCCGACAACGGCGATGGCGGCGACGACGGCTCGTACAAGCCCGACAACGAGGAGAACCTGGTATACCCCGAGGACGGCGGACAGCCCGGACAGCCTGGACAGCCTGGACAGCCTGGCGGCGGAGACCAGGGTGGACAGCCACCAGCGCCGGGTGACGGCACCTGCAGCCAAGAGGGCTTCGCGCCAGACCCAAGCGACTGCAAGAAGTTCATCCGCTGCGTCAACAACGGCAACGGCCTCACGCGGTACAACTTCGACTGCGCCGCCGGCACGGTGTGGGACCAAGACGTGCTCACCTGCAACCACCCGTGGGCTGTGAAGCCCCCGTGCGGCACCGGGTCTCCTCAGAGCCCGGCCGGACAAGGACCCGACGGACCCAACGGCCCTAACGGACCCAATGGAGGCGGACAGGGACCAAACGGACCTAACGGCGGAGGCGAGGGACCGAGCGGGCCTTACCCACCGGCTGGACCTCCTAGCGGACCTAGCGGGCCCAATGGACCGAATGGACCGAACGGGCCAAGCGGTCCTAGCGGACCTCAGGGTCCCAACGGACCAAATGGCGGTGGACAGGGACCTAATGGACCCAACGGGCCTAACGGGCCAAGTGGGCCTCAGGGGCCAAGTGGGCCTCAGGGGCCAGACGGGCCGAAAGGACCTAATGGACCCAACGGACCAAACGGACCAGACGGCCCGAGCGGGCCTTACCCGCCCGCTGGTCCTCCCGACGGCTCCAACAAACCCGGCGGGCCTGAGAGCGGCGGCCAGAACGGAACCACCCCCTGTGATAAGCCCAACAAACCCAAGCCCAAGCCGCAGATCAAGTGCGAGAAGGCCGGCTTCTACCCGCACCCGTCCGACTGCAAGAAGTTCTACCGCTGCGTGGACTGGGACGGTGACAAGGGCCAGCGCTTCTCTGTCTTCTTCTTCGACTGCCCCGCCGGCACCATCTGGGACCCCGCCCTGGACACGTGCAACCACGCCGACTCCGTGTACCCGCCCCGCGACTGCGACGGCGAGAGCCCTCCCGACTCCAGCTCGCCGCCTAGCGAGCCCTCGTCGGAGCCCACCACGCCGAGCTCGTCCGAGCCCACCACCGCGCCTTACAACGAGACGTCTACGACCCCGGCTGGCTCATCCGAGCCCACGACCCCGGCTGGATCTGAGCCCACCACCCAACCTGGCTCCTCGGAGCCCACCACCCCTGGGTCCACTGAGCCCACCACCGGCGGTTCGACCGACGCCGCCACGACGGCTCCACCAGAGTCGTCGACGGCCCCTGAATCCACCACCCCGGCCGGCAGCACGACGCCCGAGTCCTCGACCACGCCGTCGAACGAGACGTCCACCGAGGGCACGACGCCAGCCGATGGCAGCACCGAGTCCAGCAGCCCCGCCGCGACGACGCCAGACTCCACGACGCCCAGCGCCACCACGCCGGCCACCAACGAGACGTCCACCGAGCCCAGCAGCACCGAGTCGCCGAGCTCCACGGACGCCTCCAGCACCGAGGCCGGGGCCACCACCGCGCCGACCTCGCCGTCAGACTCCAGCACGCCAGCCTCCACGGACGAGCCCACCACGCCGTCGTCCACCGAGCAGCCCAGCACGGAGCCGTCGTCCACCCCCAAGCCGCCAAGCAACAACACCGAGTGCCCCGACCTGGAGGACAACCAGATGCCGCTCGTGTGCCCCACGGGCTTCAAGCGCCACCCCAAGTTCTGCGACCAGTTCTACCAGTGCACGGGCGGCAACGGCGGCAACGACATGAAGGTCCTGGTGCTGTCGTGCCCCAACGCCACGCTCTTCGACGAGGAGAAGATCCAGTGTCTGCCCCAGGGCGAAACGACGCCCTGCAAGGGCTCCATCGCCGGCGACCGGGTGCGGCGGTTCGTCGACGACGCCCCTCCTCCAGTAAGCTCTCCAGCACCACGCGCTAAAATTAAATTGCATAACAACGAAAGTAATGAAATCTGACCCTGGCTCCTTCACCGCTTTGCAGGTTCAGATTGCGACCAAAGGACATCTGTGCCCCGAGGAGGGCCTGTTCCCCTACGACCAGGACTGCCTCCGGTTCTTCAAGTGCAAGAGGACGGCCAGAGGCCACCTCCAAGGTACGCATTCGGTCCGGTATCAGTGGCGAGTTGTCCAGGTCGTGCATCGGCACTAACGACTCACTGTTTCCCCCGCAGGCTACCTGTACCAGTGCCCCAAGGGCTTCGCGTACTGGGAGGTGTCCAAGCGGTGCGAGCGCATCGGCCGCATCCCACAGTGCCGGCGGGGCATGGCCTACGACAACCGCTACACGGAGGCGGCGCTCGCCCCCACCGAGATGTACAACGTCGGCGCGTAGGGGCCGCGGCGAGGACCGCGACGAGGACCGCGACGACCGGGGAACCCGAGGACCTCGGTGTTCCGGAGGGGGAATAGGGAGGACGACGACGCGGTGCTGAGAGACGCATGCTACGCCCGCGGCGGAGGCTTAGGGATTTTACTTGGTTGCAGTTGTTGGCGAGCACGCCGTCGGCCGCGCCTCGCCCGCCCGGTGCCTGCCGGTGCCGCGGGGTGGGGGCGAGCGTGCCGCCGCATTTGCCATCCGCCGCGGGCCGTAGTGTCCAGTGTAGTGACGCGTGGGCGACCGCCGCTAGTTTGCTCATATTGAGCACGGTCGCGCCACTGGAGCAGCCGCCCCGTCGGCGGCGTTCCGTTTTGATCTTACACATTTTAAACTGAGTTAGCGTAAGACACGCAGTGATTAGCTTAAACATGTACTCGCACGACGTGTGCATTACAGACCCAAGACTAGAAACTAGACTCACGAGCGACGTAACTTCGTATCGGTAGTGCCACTTCTTCTCAAGTTTTAACTTATTTTTTCTGTGTTTTTTTTACGACCGCTTTAAACTACAGGCTGAAGGAAACTGGCCGTAACAAGACAGCGAACTAGTAGACATTAGATTTTTTTACGTTCTGCATACCAGCCATTGACAAATGTGATCTGAGTTATTTAAAGAAAAGATAGGCTAGATGTATTTTACAAATATAATATGAAAATTAGTTGAATAGTATCGGCCTCTCATCTGCCACAAACACAAAGCCAGGGTAATATTTGCACTTTTAAGTCTGTGATCTGCTTACAATTTCCCTTTTAATTAATAACAACAAAAGTTGTTTTTCTGCACAAGCAGTTGAACCTTCTTTGCGGGGCAATGCGTTGCGTACCGCCTTTTCTTTTTATATTTTTTTAAATAATCATTTCTCTCTTTATTTCCTTTTCCCCCCGAGTGCTTGTGCCGCCGCTTACTGAGAAATGAAACACAAGAAAGACATGGCCAATGAGAGAGTCGCTCAGTGTGAATGTGGCGGTTGTATATAAACCCTTTCGAGTGAATGCGAATTTTGTGTGATGTGAGAGCGAGTGCAAGACTGTTTGTCCTTCTACAATTAAATAAAGTGCTAGAGATTAAAACTGTGCAATTTCAATTTTTCCCTGCTCGAACCAAACCCATTCCAACAGTACACATTTATTGGTTTCACAGCAGAGCTCTTAAAAACCCGGACTGCGCGCAACATTGACAATCCCTCCCCGCCTGCCACGGCGCGGAATATCGCGCAACAATACCTCCCGATTCGGCCCGGCCCGGGGCACTCATCGGGCCAGCTCGGGCTCGGCGGCGGGCGGTGCAGGCCACAGCTCGGCACGGCTAGTACCAACACCGGCCACCTCGCTCGGGTCTATATATTTTGTTTCATACACAATTTTAATTACTATCTTTGGAATGAGCCCGCATACTACCCCGTATAAGGAAACCAAACGAGTATTAACCGAGAAATTTGAAAGGGAAAAGAAAAAATTTGAACTCTACACCCCCTCCCCAGTCTTAATGGGGAGGCCTCCTGCTTTACTTCGGTGTTCGGGATGGGAACCGGTGCTATCAGGTACCTGGGGTTAATCCCGTCAGCGACCCAAGCGTTCGCCGGGGGACCCAGTAGGACCCCAAAGCTCAGACAGCTGGGTCGGAGCACCCAGTGTGAAGCTCTTTGAGGGGCGGGACGTAGAGTGGGACGACAGAGAGACAGAGAGAGACTCAGACAGAGAAGAGGTTTGGTGGGAGCTTCTTGTTTTCGTAGGGTTGGTTGTGTACCCCATGGTACCCCCACTGTCCGGCGCTCCCGTACCGAACATACAGCGTTTTAGGCCAGCTTCAAAGGACTTATCATCGCCTCCCCGACGGATCGAGGAGGCACCACCCGCAACCACACACCGGGTGGTCTGGATTGATGGATCAAATACGCCATCGCTCCAGTGCCGAGGCCAACCCGCCGAAGCGGATTGCTTTTTAGACACCCACAGCGGAGTGGCCAGGTGAATGTGACTCTGACCACTACGCTATCACGCTTGTACGTCTGGCAGCGTGTTGGACGACGGGTTTGAGTTGCACTGGGAGGAAGGCGGTCGAAAAATGTAATGAATTGATGGGATTCGATCCCCGGACCCCGCCATCGGGATCACACGACTTTATGCTCTCGGCCACCACGGCCCATGATGAGGGGATCGGCGTGAGGTGGGTTCTTGACGCAACAGGACTCGACCGACCCGGTCAAAATTTCGCAAGAAGTTGGGGGAGTCGAACCACCGACCCTAGAACAGAGAACCGACGCCTCTACTCCCTGGACCACCACGTCCCATGCTCGGAGTGGGCTCACGTTTACGGGTTTGGACCGCACTGGGTGAGGCAGTAAAATTAAATGGAAATATTTGTTAGGAGTCGAACCTCCGGCATGTGGGCCTGTTGCACACGGCTCCGCTCTCATGGCCTCGAACCACCACCCTTAGGATAGCAAGTCGAAAAAACTTTTGTGACGCTGGTATTCGATCGCCGGCCTGCGGTAACTCGATCCCACGTCTCTAACCTCTCGGCTATCACAGCAGTTGTGAAACGCGATGGATCATCTGCTTTCATTAACGTTCGTTGAATGAGATTTTTTTTTTACACTATGTTGACACTTAATTTTCCCCCTCACTGACCTGGTTTCCACCACCGCCTCCGCGAAAGCTCAAAAGTATGCGGGCCAAGCGCCACCCGACACCGAGGCCTTGGGGCGCGGACTGCGCGGACTGCGCGGACTGCGCGGATCGTGCGTCTGGCCGGGCTGACGTCCGCTCGATTCCCGGTCGCGTCGCAGCGCGGCGCGTTGCACTCTGCCGACGCGGCTAAGACGAGACGCGCGACACGTCCGAAAAGGGGGGCCAACAACACCGCCAGCACCGCCAGCACCGCTAGCGCAAACAAGCAGGGCGTCGGCGTGCTCGAACGCAGCCCCACGGGCACGGGCCCCGACCAGTCCGTCGTACGCCGCGCTCCGGGACGCACACTATGTGACGGCGAGCACCTCGGCCCGCACCATGGCCACCAACCCCACCAAGCTGGACTACTCCCGCCTGCTGGACGACGAGTTCCTGAACCGCGGCGAGCGCGTGCGCGTGCACACTGTGACGCGGGGCGCGGCCACCGTGCTGGGCTCCTCGGCGTCGCTGGAGTGGCGGGACGCGCAGGGCGTGTCGGCGCGATGCACCACCGCCCTGCTCAAGGCGGCGCTCGCCCTCGCCCTCATGGCCGCCCTCACCTTCGTCGCGCTGCTCATCATGGCGCACCAGCAGCACAGCCACCTGCGCGTGCTGGCCATGCCCGTGCAGGCCGAGGCCGCCGGGGCCGCCCAGGCACGGCCCTCGCTCCTGGAGCACGGCGAGAAGGGCACCACGCTGCACGACTTCGTCCTGCACGGCGGCTTTGAGAGCTCCCTCGAGGACGAGGAACACCCGCACGACATCCACGACCACGTGCTGCCCGGCGACGTGGTCGTGGAGGACCACCACATCGTGTCGGCAGGTAGGCAGCGACTTGTTCTGAGTGCCGCCGTGCACCGGAATCGCACCCTTCTTCGTCGATCTACTTCTCTCTCATTTGTCGGCACAGACGAGCCAGAGCCGACGCGGCACGCCGTGGTCGTGTGCCTCCCGCTGGCCATCGCGAAGCACGTCCCGACCTCCACCGCCACCCCCGTCAACGCCCACAACGCCACGGACTCGACGGCGTCCTTCCCCCTGCACCTGAGCCGCCACCAGCGCGACGTGGTGCAGTCCGTCACGGAGTACCTCTCGGCCTCGGCGAGGTGTCACGTCGTGGTGCTGCGAGGCGTGGATGACGAAGAGGCCACGGCCTCCACCACGGCCTCCACGGCGTCGACTGCAGCGACTGGCAGTCCGTCGGCCGCGGGGATGTTCGGCCACTTCAGCCACTCCGGGTGAGTTCCCCTTGCCTGCGCGTGTGGCGGGGCTAGCCCTCCCTCGAGGTCTACTCTGACTGTTGTCTTCGGCGCCCAGGTGCGGCGCGTGGTCCGGAGAGGACGAGGACGCCGCCGGCGCGGAGCACGGCGGCACCCTGGCGCTGCCCGGCGGCAAGGTGGTGCCCGTGGTGCTGTGGGACGCGCCCGCCCTGTTCGCCAGGTCGCCGCTGGCCGAGGTCTGGAGGGACCTCCACTGGCGGAAGGCCAAAGGAGCCTCCGCGGCCTCCTCCGCGATCGACGTCCTCGACTTGGCGGCGCGGCTGCAGCTGCTGTGGCGCTACGGAGGGGTCTCCGTGGACCTGCAGTCGTCCGCCGACCAGGTCCTTAAGGTAGGCGACGCCCCCATTAACGCCGTGTTTCCCACGTTTCCAAACCCTCGACTTAACCCTTTCCGTTACCCTGCCTCTCTCCCGCAGACGCTGAGCGCGTTCAACCGCACCGACTCGAGCCACGTCTACTTGGAGACGACCAGGGGCACGCTCATCGCCGCGCCGCAGACGTGCAACGCCGTCGTGTTCGACCTCATCCAGGCCATCGCCAGGCACGCCAGGCACTTCGCGCCGCCGCAGGTTAGTTCAGTCTGGTTCAGCCACTTGGAGCCTCGCGCCCGCGAACGGCCGGGTAGGCCACCCAACGCACACGACGGCGCGGCGGGCTGCCTGCACGCGAGGCGCGCTCCGGGGTCGCCGCGACTCAAATGTTATTTTTCGGTTCAGGACCACCCCCACTACGACGACGCCGACTTGAGGGTGTTTGACGGCGTCCTCAACGACTACTGCCGCAGCAAGAGGACGACGCGCCACGAGTCCACGACTCCTGCGGCCAGCGATGTGCCGCCCTCGTTCGCGGATCATCCGTCAAGCACCGCGGCGTCTACTGCCACGGCCTCCGGCACCACGGCGTCCACCACTCCGTCGTCCGTCTCCTCCGCGCCCACCACCACCAGGTCACTCCTGTTGGCCAGGATGAAGGGGGTGGCGGCCTTCGGGCAGCTGCGGGCCGGCCCGCCCCCTGCCAGCACCACCCCGCACCCCGAACCGGAGGACATCCACCTGGACACGACGCGGTGCAGGGGCAACCTGGTGGCCATTTCTCTCTCTTAATAAACTAGTCCGTATTTTCATAACAGTGCGCTTGTATTATTTACAACAACAATAAGACCCTTCCACTTCACAAGTCGGTGAAAGTGGTGATGGACGACACCGAGCTGGCCGTGGAGGGCGGCTGGCGCCCGGCGAGGCGCCGCTCCAGCTGCTTCACGTGCACGGCCAGGCCCTGCTCGTACCACCACAGCACGCCCAGCCACAGGAACAGCTCCAGTGCTGCGGGACGCCAACGAGTTGCCGTTTCAGGTGGACGCCACCGTGGAGTCGGGGGGTGGGTTCATTTTCGCCGTACCTATGACCAGTGTGGCGACGAAGGCGTACACCAGGGCGGGCGCGAGTCCGGAGTACGACAGCAGCAAGACGGTGGCGACCACCGCGTCGGACACGTCGGCCAGCAGGTCGGAGGCCGTCAGCAGCAGGGCCGGCACCGACAGCCAGCGCTTGGCCTGCCCGGCCACAACAACTCCGGTTCCCGGTTTCGAAAAGCGGATCTCAAAGCCACTCGCTTCGCGTTGGTTGTTACCGTGAAGCAGGCGGCCAGCACCAGCAGGCAGGCGGCCGCCGACGCGCACCCGTGCACGGCCCCGAGACCTAGGGTCACGGTCAGTCCTAGAACCGCAAGCAGACGCGCGGCGATACTCCCTGCTGCGCGCGCGGAGTACGGCCGGCGGGTTGCCTCGGCGCGGTCGCCGGGCCGGGCTCACCTTGCCGCTGCGTCCGCTGCATCGGCGTCCTCGTGAAGCTGCCGTCGTACCGCAGCACCCAGTCCCGGCGGCCGCGCCACGCGCCGTGAGCGTTCACCACCTGCGCGACGGGGATCATTGCCTCACTGCCCGCGACGCACCGCCACCGTCCCGGGGCCCTCGAGGGGTTCGCAGACTCACCAGCCCCAGCAGGGCAAAGGCAAGCACCCGGAAGCTGAGCGCCGGGGCCGGGGGAGCCTCACAGGTACCGACGACGCGGGCGGCGTTCTTCGACTCCGGCATGGCGTGGCTGGGGTAGCCGATGACGCCGCCAGAGCGGCCAGAGCCCGCCACGGACGGGGGGAACCACAGTGGCTCCAGGGTGGCTGGGGGGCGGTGCGGGGACGGCGAGGCAGGGGGGGGGGGAGGGGAAGGGGGCGTCGTCGGGGCAACCGCAGCCTTATTGGCGCATCAGGTGGAATGCGCGGAGCGGCGCTGCAGAGGGGGAGACGGCCGCCGACGCCACTGTAATTTGGATAGACGGAGAGAAAAGAAAAGGGAACCCTGGGAATGAGAGCACTGTGGACCAAGCTCTTCGAGAAACTCCAACAAACTAAAACAACAAATTCGAAGCACTACTAATTGGAAAACACCACGCACGCACGAGCGGTCCGGAGCGCAAACTAACGCAAACAATGCGCGCCCTCGCGAAATCTGAAATCACATTCAAAACAAACACGCGCTCTACGGATTGAGCCGTTTGACGCGATTAAACGCGGAGCGCCGCACTGCTGGTGACGTGACGGCGGGGATGTGTTGTCCTCCTCCCCTAGATTTTGCATTCACTACTCTGTGTGTGTGTGTGAGGGCGCGCGCGTGCGAGTCGCGTGCGAGGTTTTGCAACAACACTCCCCTCCCCTCCCCTCCCCTCGCCGCGACGCATGCGCCACCCCGCGGTTGCCGTGGCGACGGGGATGGCGCGGCGGCGCGGCGGCCACCAGGGCGAGCCGCCCCAGCCCAGCCAGTCAGTGTGCCTCCGACGGCGCCGCGCGCAGACACGACGCCACCCCCCGCGGGCCGAGCAGGGCCGAGGCGCCGCCACGACGTCCGCCACGACGTCACCGACGACACGTCCGTGACTCGGCCGCGCCACCGCAAGGCGCCGGTGACAGTCGCAGTGACGAGGCGACATCCACGTGACGTGACGCGACACGGCGGCAGAGTCGGGCCGCCGTGTCCGGGGCGAAGAAAGTGAGGTTAGGAGCGTTCCCGCGTGTGTGACGGGAACGGCCACACAGCGGTGTGTGCGTGTGCTTAACTTGCCGGGACAGTGCACGCTGGTTGATTTGCCAGTGTGGTGTTTGTGAGTGGGATGTGCCAATCTGGATACAAGGATACACGCATGGATTCGGCCGGCCGGAGTCAGATGCAAGGTAAGATGTGGGACACATGCCGGGCTCGTCTTGACCGAGGCGACACGAGGAGCCGAGGAAAAATCTGAACCAAGTTAACAAACGCAAAGAGAGGTCCCAGTTTCACGTTTGGTTTTCCTCGAAATCATTGGTGCGCACGGTCCGCTGTCCGCTCGGTCGGGCCAGCCAGCAGACTGATTCCGAGAATCGTTCGTCGCTCTGTCTCACTCGCACCGACACGGGACGCCCCATGAGTGCGAGAGAGGCAGAGCGGCGAAAACGACTCTCAGTCTGCAGACGGTCCTGGTGCGGAATGCAAAGTCCACGGACGTGTCCGCCGTCGCCGTCCCTGCATCGCCGGCACGCCGCCTGCACCCTTCCGGTGGCTTCTACTGCCGGGCCACGCTCGTGGGCCCGTCCGAGAAGTGCATAAACGTGAGGGAGGGAGGTGCCGCCGCCCCGCCCCGCCTGGATATTAGATTAAGCTGGCCGCCCTGCCATGGTGGCCGCATCACGTAGCGCCGCGTAGCGCTGTGCGCCGCCACGCCTCGTCCTCCGGCGCCACGTCCAGGAAGGGCCTGCCCCCGGCCTGCCCGGAGGGCGCTGCAGAGGTCACTCCAGCGGGACGCCTTTGGCGCTAGCCGGCCTGGCCCTCAAACAGGGCTCGAATCGCACACATGAGGGTACCGGCAGACTCGTCGGTGCCGTCGCGGAGGCCAGGGACGGAAACCTGTCGGGCGAGAGGGTGTCCTCGAGCACGGCCTGCTCCGCGTGCCCGGCGTGCTTCGTGACGGGGACGCTCATTACCGGGGATTAGCGCGATCCCGCCACTAATGCCGCGGCAAATTTACGGCCCTCGAGATAAAGAGCGGCGCGAGCGGCGCGAGCGGCCGGCCACCACTCACAATTAAAAGATGGCACTCGGGCGGGGCGTGCCGGGCCGGGCCGGGGCCGTTGTGGCTGCGTGGCCGCGGGGATGGAATAAAACACGGCCGCGCCGCATGCGGAGAATAAATAGTCTTTCCGCGTTCATACGAGAGCCCCACCCCGCCCCCACCCCACCCCACCCCGCCACACCCTGCCTCCGGGTGCAATTAATGCCACCCTTATCGGGGTGACCCTCGCGGGCCGTGTGTGTGTGTTTGTGTTTTTAATCCTTTTTTATGTGAAAACGAAAAATTGGATATACGCGCGACGCCACGGGCCACGAAAAATAAAGGAGCCGAGAAAATAAGAAACAAACGACCTCGCGCGCGTGCAGGCGTTATCTGCCTTTAGTCGCGGGGAAAGCTTTGCCTATTGTTTGGCAGCTGGGGCACTGCTCGTCCCCCTGGCTTAGCCGCGGTCTGTCTGTCGGTGCAAGCAAGCAAGAGGTTTTACTTACAAATTTTGAATTTCATCTTGGGATCTCCGTCGTGGGATTGGACATGACAACCCTCTCTCTCGCACCTTGCGGATGCACCGTCCTCATCTTCATCTGCCCGACGCCTCCTGCGCGCCGCGCCGCCCCTCGAGGCCGCCGTCCAGGCCGCCGTCCAGTGCACCGTCTCCTATCTGGTCTCCTTCCAGTCCATTGAGCGGCCAGCCGGCTGGAAGTGCAGCCAGGACAAAAGCCCTTCCGCATCCGCCCCGCCCCGCCCCGCCTGGAAAAACTCACCGGGCAGCCCCAGCCCGCCCCAGCCCCCTGCTGTCCACGCGCGAACACCTCGTCGCCCTGCCGGACGCCATTGGCCGTCTGGTCGCTCTGCTCCGCTCTGCTCCGCTTTGCTGGGCCGGCAGGCCGCTGCCGAACTCGTCGCTCTGTCTCTCTCGCACGCCAGGCCCGCTAGGGACGTCCCGAAGGGGTGCGACAGAGACGGGCCGACGAAGCACTCCTTCGGAATCAGACTCCCTGCTGGCGCCAATTCTAAAAGCGGAAAGATTACCATTAAAAACGCCGCCGCGCCCAATGGAAATTCGGCCGAGTGAGACGCAGATTTGTTTCCTCTGCGTGACTCGCGGCGGGGCGGGGCGGGGCGGGGCGGCAGGGAAATCACTTTTTCGCTTTCATTGCCGTGAAGGCGTTGACGGCGCGCTTTACAAATTCCGCCTCGCCACCTCGTCAGGCTTTCTGCCGCTCTCTGCTTTTCTCCACGACGGCGTGCATTTGCATCAATCTGCCGCCGCGCCGAAACTCATTTAGGCGCGCAGCAGGCGGTGGCCGAGCCGTGCTCTGTCTCTCTCGCACGTTGATAGAACGTCCCGTGAGAGCGAGGGAGACAGAGCGACGGAAACGACTCTCGGAATCAGTGTGCTGGCCGTGGCACTGCCACTTTCGCGGACCATTGTCGACTCGTTCCGGCAGCACATGCCCCCCCCCCACCCCCGCTTGTTAGACTGTTAGCCGAGACCTCAACTTCACACTCGCCGCTTCGCCTCGCCGCTCGGCCGCAACTTTGGAGATATCGCGCCACGTCAAGTCCCCCGCAAGGTCCCTCTTGCCAAGTTTCCGCGTTGCAGGCCCACTACCACAGTACCACAGACGAGAGAGAGAGAGGGAGAGAGACAGAGCGACGACCACGTTTCGAGTACTTGCCCCGCTCTTTGGGGACCGCGTGACACGGCGCCGGCTCGCCCCGGCCCCGGCCGCGGCGCCATGGCGCAGCATGGCGGCACGAAGGAGGCTAAACTGCGGCCGAGGCCGCCGAGGAGGGCGGAAACGTTACTTTGCGGTAATGGGAACAAGTCGAGGCTTTTCCACCTCACCCCTGAATAACCGAGATCGTGTGTGTGTGCGTGTGTGTGTGTGTGTAAGCGACTGAGAAGGGTACGGAGGAACAACAACTTGAAGCAGGGGTTCCCGTGCCCCCCGCGCGGGCTTGAAACGCGCGCCGCTCGGGCGCTCCGTCGCGGTGCGGGCAGAGGCCCAAAACACAGGAATAAAACAAGGGCGGGGCGCGTAATTCGTAATTCGCACAGAGATTGCCATTAGCATCGGCCGAGCGCACCGATTGAATCATAATGGCCACGCTCGGCCGGCCCGGCGGTATGCTATCATTTAGACAAAAAAAAACCGAGAGAGAGAAGGGGGAAATGGAACAGTGGGAGGGGCAGATAAAAACGTCGATGGGTCAGCCCAATATGCGTGTAGGCAGTGTAGGCACCCCCGCAGCGCGCAGCGGCGCGGCGGCTTCCGTGCTGTGGTGGCAGTAAAAACCAATCGGCCAATGGCTGCTCGATCACCGACCTTGTCGTTTTTTACCGTACCCGGAATCAAGCCATGGGGTTGGAGGGATTGGGGGGGGGGGGGGGCGACTTTGGCGAGCACTTCCCCCAAGCCGCGCGCGCGCTGCTCGTCCGCCTCAAGATGATCCTCGTCGAATTATCCCCGCGCTCAAATTCGCCCGGGACCTTTTTATTTTGGCGCGAAATAAACTCGGCGCCGCTTGCTCGGCGCTCCCTTTGTGCGGGGCTCGGGCCTCGCATGCCGAAGGCTGGAGGCTGCTGGAGCCTGCTGGAGGCCCGGCCCGGAGGCATCATCCCGGAGGGGCGAATGCGGCGGAAAACATCTCGACGCTCCGGCCTCCGGGGCGGGGCGGGGCGGGGCCCTTGACTTGAGCGGCCCGCAGCAGAGCAGCAGCCAAACAGGGGCGTAATTAGGCGGGTCGAAAGGGGGGGGCGAATGTTTGAAAAGTTGCCTACCTTCAAGGAGCCTGTGTCTGATAGGTAATTTTTAGGGACGTGGTTTGGGGAGGGAGGGGGCTAAATTCAAAACAACGTTACAGAAAATTGAGGGGTTGTTACAAAGTTTGAAGAGGATTCACTTTATTCTACATTTGTTTGGACTCATAGCGAGAATTTAGAATTAGATAGCTCTCAGCGAGCGAAGCGAGCCAAAAGCTATAAATGCTT